CAATTAGACATCACTTCTTTGCAAATAGAGTAGTCCCTGCATGGAACAAACTACCAGCTTAAATAGTTCATTGTCCTACCATGAAGGCTTTCAAACTTGAGGTGGACAAGGAGAAGTATCTCTTATTCCCAGAACTGACCTAGAGATCAGGGTTCCCTAAGTTTACTGATGGAATGCATATAACAGATACTGCGCCGTCTCCCTTTCCCTTCTNTCTACCTTCCAGATATTACTCCCTCGTGAAGAATTGGAAGAAGCTTTACACTCGCAGGCGAGTCGGTCCACAGACGGAACCCGCCATTACCAGGACACCCAATAGGCGAAGGCCTCTCTACGTCCTGCGAATTGAATTTGAATTTGAACCTGCAGACGGTGCTGGCATTTAAGTCGGCGCTGGACGAACAGTGATGTGAACTTGTTCCTGAAGTGGAGGTCTGACAAGCTAGCGACTTGGGAAATCTGAGAGGATTGAAAGCGGGTCACTTAGGTTGTATACTTTTGTTTTTGCTCTGCCGTGTTTTGGAAAACTGAAATGACCTTGAGACGCGGTACGTTCAAAAATTAACCTCGCTATCGGTTTGTGTATTCCCACAAGTTTTATACTTACTCAGCTCCGATTATTTCCTTCGAACCCGCAAAAGATCTTTAATCATACCGTCCAACCATTCAATGGCTGACAAAACCTCTCTAGGATCCTCTGACGAGGACACCCTCCCGATGAGGTTTGATGAACCTGTGTTGGTCATGGATAAAACTCTTTCACAGGCCGAAATGCTAGGCATACTCCAGGAACAGGCCTTAGAACTAGGGAGGTTGAAGGCTGAAGTTAACGCTCTCGGTGACCAGGTCGCCAAACTGAACGCTCTTATGTTGAACTCCCCAGTTCACTTGGCGGCAGACCGAGCGATCAAAGTCTCCGAGCAGCAGATGCGACTGCTTATCTTCTGGGGTCAGTTCCCGAGCTCTTTAACCCCTCAGGAAATGATGCAGTTAATCTTTAAACATTTGGATACTACAATTTTCAAGCCCGGCAAATGCTTGTGGCTTATTCCGAAGAAAAGAAAAACTCCCTATGGCCCCGTAGTAGATATGGGCTCCCCTTCTACAGCTCGTAAGGTCATCACATTTGCTCCTTTCCTGAAACGATCCTGCAAGGGTCTTAGATAGGTGTCAGTCGATAAACCC